TGAACCAGAATTATTAGAGCCGTTGTTGCCATCATGTAGATCTTGTTTGGTAGGTGTTTGTAGGTGTTTCGAATGATTAACGTTTCTTTTTAAAATTTATATTGATCAGGTTCTCTTAAATATTTGCAGGAACATCGACACTCTTATGTCCGAAAAAACGCAGTTTTTGCAATTTACACCATATATAAACATTTTGAATATCTTATCCCTGATGCCCCGGAGTTGATTCAAAGCTTTTTAGCAGCAGTAGGAATCAATTTAGTCTTCGTTTAAATTATGAATAAAGAAGCTTTTTCATATTTTATTACCTTAAAGGAAGCCGATCAAACCTGCAAGCGAAACGCCTTTGTTATGCTTTGCAATACGAACCAGTTGCGTGCCGTTGAATATCTTAATGACGTTTTCGATCAAGTGCCAAACTTTGATGAATTGTTGCAGTTGTCTGTAATCGAATTAATCAGAAAGGATTGTAGAAATAACAATACCAATAGGGTATTTATTTCTGTTTTATATTAATTGTATTGAGTAGTTATTCTGTAAAAACTATTTATGTTCTGAGACATTGGATGTTATCAGGGAAAATATATTCGTTGTATCTTTGAACTACTGAATGCGGCGTCTCATTCTGTTAAATACGAAGCCGCTACTTCATTAATGGCTCTTACCCACGCCCCCGCAGCTGTTAAGGGTACGTTTAAGATCGCTTAATATACGACTTATCAAAATTATATTAACATTTTTAATCAATAATTTTTAGCTGCTGCATCCTGTTACATCGAACTAATAATTAAAGAGTCTGACAATAATATCAAATTAATTGTTTTGGATCGGCTGGACGAATTGCGTGAAAAACATGAGCAAACTTTGGACGATCTGGTATTAGATATACTGCGTGTGTTGACTAGGTGTCTAGATATTTTCACATATTGACTACAATCAAGGCTTGATTTAACGACGAAGTCTTAAAAATTTTCTATTTTAAAAATGAGCCTTATGTGCTCTCACGAAAATGATTAACGGATCAAGATACTGTGATTGACAATAGCTAAATCAATACTTGATTGAATATGTGTGGCGTCATGTTTAGTTGCTAACAAGTTTAATTTCATTTAATAGTACAGACATTGAAGTTAGGCGCAAGGCATTACGTATAGGTTTAGAGTTAGTTTCAAGTCGTAACGTTCAAGAAGTTGTAGTGTTCTTAAAAAAGGAACTCAGCAAGACCCTTGATCAAGATTATGAAAAGGTTATAATTATAGTCATTACTAATATCAGAGAATACCTTAAGCTGACCTTGTTAAAATCGTATTTATAGAACAATGAATATAGACAGCTATTGATTCAGTCTATTCACGGATGCGCTATCAAATTTTCTGAAGTTGCAGCAAATGTTGTTCATGTGCTCATGGAGTTCCTAGGAGATTCAAATAATCCTGCTGCTATCGATGTAATTGCATTTGTTCGGTAATCTCGCTTCCTTAACTGACCTTGCTAAGCATTTACCAGACATTTACTGTTGATGTGTTTTTTCCTTTCAGTGAGGTAGTGGAAAAGTTTCCAAACCTACGATCATCAATAACGGAGAAATTGCTCGAAACGTTTATGGATGTCAAATCTGGAAAAGTATTTCGGGGTGCCTTATGGATTGTAGGAGAGTACTGTACAGAATGTCAAGGTACTTGTAAATATTTTAATTTTAATACTCGCTAAATGGGAAATTAATCCGATGTCTTTTTAGATATTGAGGAAGCTTGGAAACAAATAAGAGCTGGACTTGGGGAAATTCCGATTTTGGCCTCAGAACAGGTTTGACTGGGTGAATTGCTAAGAAACTATCCGAAAAAAAATATTATACTAATTTAATAAATATTTGATAGCGTTTACTTGAAGAAGCAGAAAAGGAAGAAAAGGGAGAAGATTCTGTTTCCGATAATAAATCTGCTAACACTTCATCATCTCGTCGTATTCTTGCTGATGGCACATATGCTACTGAATCCATATTTTCATCTAATTCATTAAATTCGGCAAAGCTTGATGCTGTTAAAGCAGCTGCAAAACCACCGTTGAGATGTAGATATGGTTTCTTATAAGTTATTCACAAAGCTGTAAACATTAATTTCCTAATATATAACTTTATTTAGCTTTGTTATTGAGTGGAGACTTCTTCCTTGGATCCGTACTTGCTGCAACTTTGACTAAGTTAGTATTGCGTTACGCTGGTGTCTCGAAGGATGTAAAAAAAACGAATGCATTGAGAGCAGAGGTAAAAGGTACCGTCATATTTTCATTCAATTTATAGAAATCTTATGCTATGATTTATTTTGTTATATAGGCAATGCTTATAATGGCTAGTATAATTCGAGTTGGGCAATCACAATTTGTGTCAACACCTATTGATGAGGATTCCTACGACAGAATCATGTCTTGTCTGCATGTTTTAGAACAGCTTTCAATTGATGCTTCAATCAAGTCCGCGTTCCTACAAGATACGAAAGCAGCCTTTGCAAGGATTGTAGAAGCTGAAGAGGTTTGAATAACTTTAGAATATTGTTTTCGATTTTATTTTATACTATTTTCATTTAGAATAATATTTATATTTCGTCTCGGAATCACTCTTAGAAACGTACAGCAGCAAAAAAAGCTAAAGATAAATCCGTAGCAGCAGTCCAAGTTGATGATCTTATTTCTTTCAGACAATTTTCAAAGCGTAATCTAGGAGATGAAGCTGATGAGGTAGTGCTTTGAATAAGCTTGTTCGTAAAAAGCCTGATCTTATTACCTGAATTAATTTAAGTTTGTCATAGTATGAATTGGATCTGACACGCGCTACTGGTCAAAGTGATCCGAGAGATGATTTGATTTCAAAACTTAGCCGCGTTGTTCAACTTACAGGTATTGCTTATAAAACCTTGTAGGTGTCTTTTTTATTTTTTTTTCTCTTTGTTATAAATTAAGTGTGTATTATTGTTCCTTAATAGGATTTTCCGATCCTGTATACGCAGAGGCTTATGTCAACGTTCACCAATATGATATTTTACTGGGTATATCAATACATTTACTCATTTATATATAATCAGATTGTTCTTTACAAATTTATATTTTTATGGAATTTCAGATGTCCTGATTGTTAATCAAACCAGCGAGACATTGCAGAACCTCTCTATAGAATTTGCTACTTTGGGTGATTTAAAACTAGTTGAGAGACCTACACAGCATAATCTCGCGCCTCATAGTTTTCACAGTGTTAAAGCTACTATTAAAGTAAGTGCTCTTGCTTTGGATTTCGTTGAGAAGTATAATCTCATCCTCATTTTCATACTTTCCTGATAATACACTCAATGTAATAGGTTTCATCTACAGAGACTGGTGTAATCTTTGGTAATATTGTTTATGACGGACCTGGTACTTCTGAGAGCAATTGTGTTGTGCTTAATGACATTCACATTGATATAATGGATTACATTAATCCTGCGTACTGTAATGAAACTCAGGTGTGTTAAGTAAATTTCAACGTCGGTGAATTTAAATTAAACTAAGTCTATATTTTCGTTTTGTTTGCAACTAGTTCCGAAGCATGTGGACAGAATTCGAATGGGAAAATAAGGTCAATGTTAATACCAATATTACGTAAGTATAGTTAGTTATCCTTTTAAATGAGCTATCGGAATTGCTATTAACATAATTTTTATTTATTTATTAGCGATTTACGAGAATATCTATCTCATATTATGAAATCAACAAACATGAGTTGTCTAACTCCAGAAACTGCATTGTCCGGGAATTGTGGTTTCTTGTCTGCTAACATGTACGCTCGTAGTATCTTCGGTAAGATTATAGTTCAAAATATACATCGCTTGTTGTGATAGAATAATGGTAATTAAATGAAATATTATCATGTAGGCGAAGATGCATTGGCTAATCTTAGTGTAGAAAAACAAACTGACGGTGCAATTACCGGGCATGTTCGAATTAGAAGCAAAACACAGGGAATAGCATTAAGTCTCGGAGATAAGATCACGTTAGGTATGTCTGCATCACATTTAATTAGTTGAAATATTAATTGCAACATTTATATTAATTGTATATTTTATTTATTCGATATCTCAGCACAAAAGGCTTTAGCTTAAGAAACCCATTTAATTAATTTAATTTATTAAATTATAATATTAAAATTGTTGAGTCGTATATATATGTTACACGATATATTACATGTAAATTTTTACATATATAAAATTATAGTAAAAACATATATATAGAATTATAAACGTTGAAACTTTTATGTTTTTAAACCTACATATTAAATTTTGCGATTAGATAGATCAAAAAAAAGCAGAATAACTACCCTTTCTGCTAAGATACATTTTTGTATAAATTAAAATTTTTGACAATGTAATTTCGTCAAAAGCAAATGTTTATTGATTTTAAAGAATTATATATAAATCTATGCTTTGAATAAGTTTACTTAGAGTTCAAAAATAAATTATTTGAGTAAAAAAAAAAAATAAGGATTATATAAAATATTAAATTTTTGTTTTTTTTATAGAAAATTGCTAATTTATATCACAGGTGATTATATTATTTGAGTGACGAAAAGGGAAAACCTGCAATTCGAAAAATAGATTATTATGAATTTTATAATGGTCTATTTTTCGAATTACAGGTTTTCCCTTTTCGTCACTCATTTATAAGTGCGTGCCGCCAATGGCACATGGCATGCACATTTTTAGGGGTCGTCTAAAGCTTGGCACCTTACGAAACTACCCGATACATGTCCCGGATTATTCCGAACAAACCGACAAAGACAAAAACACGAAAATATAAAAAATGGCTATCCAAACCGGTCTTGATGTAGCTTTGATGCACTAAGCAAAAGTGTCGAAAATGCAATTTGACTATATATCTACTAACCTCCTAACCTATGTCTAACTCTAACCCCAGAAGGTGCCAGGCTTTAGACGTCCCACCATTTTTAGGGGTCGGCTAAAGTGGAGTTAATTCAATATATGATCTACATACTGCATAAATTACATTATTGAAGGTAATCCTAAAACTCGTCCCGCTTTCCAGAATGCCACTAAACCACGTGATAAATATACACATTTTTTGATTGATCTGTATCTGGCTCGAGTTGCATATTTCGAAATCTTTTGATGTTTTAAAATTTTAACCCAGTTTTACTTATTTTCGTGAGTAAATAAATTGAGTGCGTGAAATAAAAATTTAGTGTTAGTTTCTTAACGTTAGAGGCTATAGAAAAAAATTAATATTCGTTATACCGTAAAATCTCGAAATAGCGGGAATCTGTGCGCTATTTCGAGTATGCCCATGGGTGTTATTTCGAATATATAGGTTGATTTTCTGAATAGAATGTTAAATGGGTTCTTTCATATCAAATCGGGGTTTAGAGACGATCTAACGGAAATTGAGATTTTTATTGGATTGTATTTGCAAACATGTGATATATTTATAGTAAAAATTTTAACATGTGTTGACATATTATAATTTGGTATAGTTCTATACGCAGTAATTTTTGCATATGATGATTTTCTGTTCTAATTTTAGATTACTGCATGATCCGCTATCAGTATTGCAGTCTGCCAATTCTTATTGTTTGTTAACATAAAGAATTTTATTTAATCGTTTAGAATTTCAGGATTCCGGATGTCAAGTCTCTGTAGAGATGAAGAGTAACAACAAAACAGTTGATTAGACTCTGAACTTTATTACGTGAAAGAAATAGTTTTAATATCAATACATTTCATGAATTGTGTGATTTTCAAGGTTCAACTATTATAATATTTAAAATTAAAGAAACCGAAGAATTAATAGGTAGTTATTTATATACTATATAATATTAGTATAATAATCTAGTTAGTTTGAATCTGAATTTTCATTATTTTCATTTGGAGCAAAACATAATTCATCTTTATACGGATCATGTATATAGGGACGAATGTCTTTAAATAATTGTGTTTGACGTTTTAAAGATATAGATTTTAAGGAAATTATGTTTAAAGGTTTGTATAGATCAAAAGAAAGATTATTACGAATTATAGCTTCTTTTTTTGATCCATTAGCTTCTAATGTCATAAAAACCTTTCCAGGTTGATTATGTTAAAAATAAAAATGTCGATATGTTCGTATACCATTACATTTAATAAAATATGGATTAAAAAATGTTTCAAAATCATAGTAATTCCATCCTATATTATTTTCTTTATCATATCTAACTGCTATATTACTTCCATCTTTTTTTGATTGATTAATAATAGCTTCAACGTGATCCATACTCATAATGGTTGATTTACAATAAAGTGATTTAATTGTTCCAAAATATGCATCGCATATAAATTTAGTATGACCAGGAACCATGAAATTAACTTCAATCATGTCAAAAAATCCGATCATAGTAAGCCACGAATAAAACCACAAAGCAAGATTATTTTTGTTTTGGCCTCCACAGTTGTCACAGGTAATTTTAAGATTTTTTTGTAGTGAATTCCAATGAAGCAAACTATTATATACGAGACTTAAAGTAGTATTAGCACCTTTAGGTGTTTTTATTGGAAATTGATGTTCGCCAATTAAATAGTTTCATTGAGTTGTAGGTTCCAAACTAGTATTAGTAATTCCAAAAAGATGAACATTAAATGGAGATTTAAAAAATAAACCTCCTGGTTGTTGTGGTAAGTAGGGAATTGGTATATTTTGAGCCCAGTCATAGCAAATATGCAAAGTATTAAACCTTAATTGTTTATTAATTTCTATATTTTCGTTATAGTACTGACGTTTGATAGTTGCAGCTGCCCGATGAAGGTCATATTCTGCTTGAAATTTTTGTTTGCTTTCAATATTATCAGTAATATGAATACTAGCACGAAGTTGTTCACATTTGTCACACAAATCAGATGCTTTCGACATAAACCGAATATTAGATGCGATTTCATTTCAAACTTGATAAAATGTAGAAAGTGCCATAATTTTATAATTCTTACCCTTAATAGATTTAAGTGTTGATACATATTTTTCATATACTTTAGTATATGTTGTGTTTGTTGGAAGCGAAATAACCGGTATAGTACTTTTTCTTATATATTGACCTGATGATGGATAGCCGTAAATATTGGCATAATTTTGAAGAAAATTATTAAGCTCTTGCTTTGTTTGATCATTAATAGTAGCACGATCAGATCTAATAAATGTACGTCCTGTATTTTGATGAGTTATTTCTGCCATTCCATTATTTCTAATATGGGCTTTAATTCGGTCAAGTCATGAAGAAGAAATTCCAACTAATACTAAATAAGTAGGTAAGCATACATTATATTGAACATTATAGCAATATTGATATTTTATATGGTTATTTGTTGTAGAGTTACTTGGCTTTTGTAAATTTTTTTGATTAGGTAATTCATTATAAGCAAATGATGCAAGCTGTCCTTGAATCCAAGTATCTAGATTATCATGAGACATATTACGGCATTCCTCTTACTGTTTAAAGAATTGACAAAATCCTATTTTTTCAAAACAGAATTTGGTTTTTTTTTTACTTTTTCTACAGGTGCATTCATTTTTTTGCCAAAATTCCCATAATTCTTGGACGTGCTGACAAGTAAGATTATCCATTTCATCATATTCTTCTAAATTCAATTCAGCGAAAGAGGGAGCAAGATTATATGTTTCATTTTGTTCTAAGATTAAGTTTTCATGATTATTACAAGAATCTGTATTTGAATTTTCAGAATTTATTATATTGACGGAATAAAAATTTTCGATCAAGCAACAACTTATGATATAATTTATAAATTTTATTATTCAATTGAGTTTTATAAAAGTTCAACATTAAATTTCATATATTTATTGATACTTTATTAACGTTAATGCTAAATTATCAAATTTTCAATTTTTAAACTTTTGAATTTTAGTTCATTATTGCCACCACTATTACTAACCACCCCGAATAAATTAACAATATATAAATTATTTTAAACTCTACGATTCGAAAATGCTAACACTAATACATGTATAGTGCTAAATTATCAAGAAATTCAATGCTTTAAACTTTTGGACTTAATTCACTAATATTTAATTACTGTTAACGTTAGAATGGTTCAAATTTTGCTATTGCTCGCTATTACTAAAATGGTTAAAATTACATCAATAATGTAATTATTGATGATCGATTTAATATGTAATGCATATGTTGTGAAAATGTAAATTACCGCCCCGAACTTACTGCGGTTTCCGACGTAATACAAATTCTGAAAATTCTAAGAATTCTGAAAATTCTGAGAATTCACAGAATAGTTAGTATTATTTCATAGGAAGAAATTCATATGATTGGCTAATTTTTATGGATCTACATGTGATCACCCGTGATAATTAACCAATCAAA